TGACGAACTTAGTTTAAGAGCAAATATTATGACTTAACCAAACTACTATTTAGTCATTCCAACAGTATATTCATAAAAATAGTCCATTAAATAATTATAAAATAATTATATATCTACTTCTTGTTTAAATTATAAATTAGCGGTGACTCAAATCGAATAAAATATTTTTACTTAAATAAAACTATATTTGAAAATTTATTAGAAAAAATTACTCAATGAGTAATAAAATAATATTCCAAAAGTGTAAAATGTGGTAATTGGTTGATGGCAAGTGGGTATTGAATATTAGGTTGAGAAGAGAGATATTTGATTAGGAAAAAGACCAGTGGGAGGAGATGGTGCATATGGTGAGTGGTGAGATCAAATGTAGGTCTAGGGATGATAAAAAATGGAACAAAGGTAATATTTTCTCTATTTGATCTTTTAAGAAGATTTTAGGATGTCATTATGTGGTTGATGTCGTGGTGGAGGTGTTGGTTGGAGAGCAAGAATTCCCCAAAAGTGAAAATCTTCATGTGGTAAGTTATGAAAGGTAGGGTTTTGGTTATTGATTATTTGCGTTATCATCGTCTTAAACTTAATATCCCCAATCAATGCCCTTTGTGTAATGAAGATTGGAAAACGATTGATCATTTGTGTTACTGCATTGCAAGTTGGCTTGGAAGAGTTGGTGTCTAGGTCTATCATGGTAGAGGATCGTATGGGCTTGCCCTCAAAGCATAATACTATGTTTTCGTTTCGGCATGGATTATGAGCCATATAACCTCATTTATTAGGCTTATATGGTATGTTAAAACATTTAAGGGTGGTTTTCATATCCTAGCACTATGAACCATATGTTATTCTCTATTTTAGAAGTCAAAATAAAGCGTCATGATAATGGTATGTTGAGACCAATTTGTAGGACTCCTCCACTTGCAGGGACGTGGATGTATAATGTCGATGCTTGTGTTTAGAAAAAAAATTATAACCAAAAAGTGTTGCTCGGTTCCTTAAAAATGAGGAAGACTTTTTCAAATGTCTTTTCTCCGAAGGTGTGGATGTGATGGATCTTAACAAGATTAAACTTCTATCTATATGTGAAGATTTGGACATTCTTGCATCTAGTAATGAAACTAAATGTAGGGTTTACATAATTAAGAGTGACTATAAGGTGGCTGTGTTATGGGTAAATATCTTCTATCCTATGAGAATGAATGGTTTCGCTAATCAAATTAAAAATAGGTTAGATGTGATCAAATATGTTGAATTTCACCATAATAATAGAGAGAGAAATAACATTGTTGATTTTTTAATAGGAATGGGAGGAACAATGATATGAGTTTCAGTAAAATTATATTTTTCGTGTATTCTCATCAGAAAGTCGTGTTATGCTTAATATGTATGTATTATTTAATTAATAAATTTTCATTAAAAAAATTCTCTGACTATATTAATCTAATTGTGTCAATCTAATTTTAATTAAAACTAATTAATTGTGCACATGCATTAATCTATAATTAGGAAATTGTGGGCTGATCAGAATATTGCATTCCATATATCATATATTTATTTTTATTTTAAGAGCATGAACGATCAAGATACCATGAATTTATTCTAATTGTCACACCCAAAAATTCAAAAAACCATGACCCACATCTTTGACATTAATTAATGTGAATTATAAATTTGGAAGTGGCCGTCAAGAAAAGATCCTAATGTTACCACTTAATCTTATTTTATAGTAAAAACATATATATATATACACACACACACACACACACACATAGAGATAAATATATATAATTTATACATACATATATATAAATTTTAATAGTTTCTAATCATAAGCATCATATATATATATATATGTGTGTAATGGCACTCTTTATAATCATTAACGAGATAAATACTTAACATTATCTAGAGCCTTAGGAGGTACCAACTTGTCGAATAATTATGATAAAGATTGTACAAGAAAATTAATAGAGTCTCTTGATCACCATCATCATCATCATCATAGTTCTCAAAGTGAAATTAATTAGTAACCCAAGTATATTATATAATTTATTTATATATTTACAAAGAATATGTAGAATATTGTACATACATACATACATATATATATTATTTTACTTGTGATTATGATGGAATGAGCGTGCAATATTGGGAGAAACAAAAAAGTGGCTTTAACAAGAAATTCAAATGGCAATGCCACTAAATTAGATATGTAGATTTGACAAAAAGTAAAATAAGGGGGGG